TCTCTCCTATCTGAGGGAAACTGCTGCTTCCTTCTGCATCTTCCCACTGAAGTGTGAAGGAGCCTGGTCCAGGGCATCTAGCAGAGCTGTTGGGAGCGTTCAAGCCTTGCCAAGGAGAAATGAAAGCAAGCGCCTACTGGGGCTGGGATGTTGGCACAAGTTATTGACAGTGGGGTCACACTTCGGTGTCCTGTCCAAGTAATGGGCAGCATTTATTTTATAAGTAGAGCTTGGAAGAATACCAACCTCTTTGCTCTGCAACCTGACACCCTAATTCAGTTTCAATTACTTATTATTTGTCATTTACAGTGAATTTTCCCCCAACGTTGTTCCTTCTGTTGGAGAAATGATGATGAAGCCACAGAAAGTGGTGATGGGGTTTCTGGAGTTCTTCAAGCTAAACACACTTTTTTCCCTGGAGTACTGACGGTTTATTACCAGCTGAAGAATTTGGTCCTGTATTGAAAGTTAATTTGCTCTGGGGATCTGCTGAGATAACTTGGATCAGGCTGCTGCATGAGACGTGCACACGCTACTAGTACGACTAGTGCTAGTATTAAAACAAAGAGTGGCTGTCCAGAAAAACCACTCTGCATCCATGAGAGAGTCACTATTGTAGATTTTATTCTTTTTAGTGGCCATGTTATAGAAAGAATATACAGTCACCATGTTAATTACAATAATTGTTTAATGGGTTAAGGATCTTGTCCTACTCATTGACTGTCACCACTTGGCAAATGGCAAGACAAGTAATTAGCTGTACCTTGCCTGGCTAAGCTGTATTCATGGCAGCTTTTTATAGCTGAGGGAACTGAGGAGTTTGCTCAGTCAGGTGCTTCACATGAAATGCTTTCCATCATGGGCCAGACTTAGGATCTCTTAACCACCTAAAAAGTTGTGCCTAGTTTCACATGAATAAAAGTTTGATGTTCATCCAACTTCAGAGAGAAGGCAAAAAAATTTTCACTTCTAAGAAAAGCTTTCTCATGGTGCACTCTGAAAGCAAATGTTTCCAGTATGCATAGCAAACTGTCCTGTACAGAATATCCAGACCGTTTCACGGCTTCACAAAACCAAAGAAACATACCCTGTCCCAAGCATCTTATAAAATTAGGCCCAGTTTTTTGAATCTCACCCACTCCAGTAATCCTCGTGCCTTCTGAGGTTCTACCGCATAAGCAAGATACGTGAATTCATGCTCTAATTTTAGACAATGCAATTTGCTGAGAAGACTGCAAATGGAAAAGAGTTACTATTGCTGAGTGGGAGAAAATTGATGATAATAATGTTACTGAAAATTGGACATAGAAGGCAAACAATCCTTATACTTGCCCTCTCATCAGCGATTAATAACTACAACCTTGGAAGGCTCCAAACAACTTAACTGCCTGAAAGCAACATGACTTTCTGGCTGCAAACAGGAGAAGAAGGTGGCTCATGCCAGTATCTGCTGCCCCCCAAACCATAAAGGGTTAAATTGCTGTATGCAGCTACTACGGATGTCTGTGAAAATTTCAAAAGCATGAGAGCTAGCCATCTGGCTCCTGCTCCTACTGGGTATTTAGGGATGAAAAGGGAAACTGGAAAGGTAAATAGTGTGTATTGCTTGATGTGTTGATTTTCAGCTGAAATTTCTCTCCTCAGTGCCTAGTCATATTTGTCCACCTAAATGAGTGGGATTGACTGTGTCTTCCCAAAAAGGGGGAAAAAAATTAGCATGTAAGCTCTGGGAGAGCTGTGCAAAGCAACACACTGTCTGATCTAACAGCTGAGGCAAATTTATTCTGGTCTGCATCCAGAAAAAGGACTTAGCCTTTCAGTGTCTGACTCATGTGTGGTGATGGCCAGGCAGTTTCTCACACCCCGGGGCTCCATGTAGCACATGCCGGCAGGGTTAGCTGCCTTAGACTGAGATTCAAAAGAAGAGCCCAAGATCTGGGGCAAGCATCATAATGACCAGGGAGGGTCAGGCATCAGTTTGGACTGGGAAGTGAACAGTTTCCTAGCTTTAAGTGTGTATGCCAAGCCAGCTTTTTTGTTCTTCTTCTTTTTTTCTTTTGTTTTTTATTTTATTTTTCTGTGGGGTAGAGGTAGAAAGAGAACTGTGGGGGGAAAGTAGGATGCTGCTTTGCTGATAGGCTTCTGGTTTGTCACCAGGGCCAATGTCTGTCTCATTTGGGAGGCCAGGCCTGGACACATCCCAGACGTGCTCTCACGGTCCGCTGAGCTGGAAGGTCTCCAACCTGGCCAGTGATGACACTAACGCCATCTTCCACCCTGTGCCTGTGTGTGTCCCTTCGATCTGTAGGAGACTGAGACTCCAGTCTTCTAAAGTCTATCTTGGGCAAATGAGCAGAGGAAAAAGCTGGTCCAAGGTGTGAACGAAAAGCGTATCTCCAGCTCTGCTGCAACTGCCTGCGCATGCTCTTCATCACGCTAAACCCCCAAGTCAGTCCCGCTCACAGCACTGTGTTTACTTCTCTATCTGCCACAACGCTTTAAGTACACATAGTAGCTTGCCCTGTGAGTCCCGATCCTTGTGACTCTTCCTCCTTTGTAAAAGGAGCTAAACAACTCTTTCACGTCTAGCTTAAAAATAAGCTATGCCTTGAAGTCATCTATTTATGCCTTTTTGGTTGTAGTTTTATTGAAAAAGCTGGTATTAACATATTTATATTTTTATTCAACAACAGTTAGCTAATTTGTGCAACACAAAGAATGCAGCCATGAACAACAGCTTTCAAAACAATCAGATTTACCAACTTTACCATCACTTACTCTACACCACTGAAAGCTCAAACTAAAAAGAGAAAGAAAGTTGGAAACGTTCACAATGACGATGTTAACTTTCCATACATTCAAGAAACCAGGAAACCGATCTGTAGCAGTGATGTCAAAGACAGGAACGGAATACTGGTCTTTGAAAGGTTTCTATTTATTTCCTCTATAATCACTTCATGGTATTTTGGTTGGGTATTTCATTAGTTTTATAAAGCTCCAAAGATATATTTCTTTATTTAATTTTAACATGTTCTTTTTGGTACCCAAAGCTGTAACAGAGTAAGGTACTTCAAATTAAAAACAAAAAATTGTTGTATTAAGATCTGCTTTATAATAAGCTATCTATAAATCTTACTTGAGAATGTTAAAAGCTAAATATATGTACTTCTAGCTGTAAATGCCAATATGAGCTGATAGCTTTCTTTTTTTTTCCAAGCTGCAAAGGTTAATGGAGGAGGCCAAAAGTTAAAGAAATTGTATGACACCCTTGAAGCAGTAGTTTGGCATTAACAAGTTTTCTACACAATTTACCACATTCTTAAACCTTTTTAGAAGGAAAAAAAAAAAAAAAGGCAATTTTGTTAAATTTCATTAGAATAAATATGTACATATACTGTCCGTGCCTGCTACAGCATACAGTATTTTATAAACAAACATTCCTCATTCTCTTTAAAATTAACCTACACATTTCATACTGTATGTGTTCAGTGTGGCTGGAAACTGATGCACATGCGTTTGTGTTTCTACACACAAAATATACAGCATTGATCGAGAAAACTTCAAACACGCAGGTTTCATGTGTTTTGTTAAGATGTCATATAAAAGCGGCAGACTTTGTTTTTTTTAGTTCTTGTAAGCAGATTTTCACCCACCCTTTCCCTCAAACCAAAATATAAAAGCATGCAGATCCCTTCATTGGTACATTCTCCACTTACCAAGAACTCACTGCATAATGGCTTAAAGACTTTTTTTCTGAGGAGTTTTAATATGGGCAGATTAGCAGGTCATCTGATTTGTGCTCTTTTATTCATGGTTTGAGGAGAAATCCTTTGGGATATTAATTTTTCTACCAGAGCTATTAGAGATGCAGCAGAACTTTCTTTTCCTGGATTAAGAGGACTCCCTGCCCACTGCACCATTCCGGTATGATTCCTGCATGCGCTACACCGATTGCGTGTACATTCCTTTCCATTTACATCACTATTCATTTTAAAACAGAGACAGATCTAACAGTATTTCTGTGGAAGAAGGTTTTGTTTCATTTGGAGTTTCTGATTTTTCATATGTCTCCAGTAATAATTTTGTCTCCCAGCAGTGGACTCATTTTAAAGTGTTAAAATTCACTGCACAGTGCTGCATCTCGCAGCATCATTGTTTTTACAGTTAGAGACACCATGGCACTGCCTGTATTCCCAAAGGCCAGGATTAAAATAACCATGCTGCAATCAACCAACGAGGGGCTTTCTGCAGTGTCTAGCAGTGATGTAACTTTGTTCCCACTGAAGTTGATCGTTGCCTTCAAGGACATCACTTCTAGCCAGGGTTTCCAGAACTCCAACCCCCAAATGGCAGGATGGGTTTGTGTGTTAACTGCCAGGCTGTGGCTGACCAGCCAGTCCCTCTGGAGTGGCAATACCAAGTTTTTTAATAGTCCTCCATGTGATGAGGATACTAGTTATTGTTTTAAACAGAGCAAAGAGATCTCTGGAGAATAAACTTCTTAAAATAAGTTGGCTGAATAACTATACCAGTCTGTCACTTATTCACTTGGGAAGTTGAAGCACGAAGTAATGTGGATAAATAAATAAACAAGAGGGTGTTGTAAAGAAGGGAATGGGACGGGCGAGACAGGGCAGCTTTTCACCAGCAGGGATTCTGCTTCTGGTTACAATTGTCACAAGACCCCTCCAATGTGCCGCGTGCTCTAAAGGGATGTGGCTGTTCATTCACTCAAACGGGTCTGGCTTAGTTGAAGAACAGGAAAATGCTAGTGGGAAAAAAAATAAATTAACAAGAGATTGAGGCAAAAAGCTCTAACAATGTGGTAAATGCTGTGGACTGCAAAAGCAGGCAGGGCACCAGAACAGCATGGTCCTGTGAACCACTGAGACCCTCGAAAGGACTGACAGGAGTTGAGGAGTCTCAGCCCTCCTCAGGAACGCTCCCAAAGTGAATAAATACCCCTGTTTGTTTAAAGGAACCGATACAGACCACAGTACTGGATTTGCAGTCGTGCCTTTTACTCATACAGTTGCAGTGATGGAAAATAGTTGGCTTGCCACCAATAATGATACAGGCTGAGGGATGAAAGGATGCAACCTACAAATCCCACCACAGAAGCCACAATTTTTGTGAAGATCACATCCTTCTACAACTCTCAAGAGGTTGGTTTGTAAATATAGAGGGATATTGATAATTCTAGTGCATTTCTGAGTTCACTTTATCCTGAAATATGTACAGATTGTTTGTCGCTGCTATAGCAATGATGTTCTCAGTTGGGTGCCACGCTGTGTGCAAGATCTTCTTAGTAAAGTCCAAACTGTCAACACTGATGTCATCTTTCCTCCGTTTGCCTCCAACGCAGACTCTCCGGGGCTTAAGAATAGCTCGTGGTTTGCTGCTCTCTCGGGATGCCTCCAAGGTAACATCCCGTTTGGTATTTCGGTCAAACATTCGAAAAAAGTTGTTATATGCACCTGTCATTATTACACTGTAGAGAGAAAGAAAGAGACAGAAAACAAAGACAGTTAAACAGCAGCTTGTGGGAAGTCTACTAATATGACTGGATCAGGAGAGCTAAGCTTTAACCTTAGGATAAGATGTCTTCTGGTTTCAGCTGGGAAAGAATATAGAAAGGGATTTTTCCCAGTACTTCCCAGAGTGAATGGTTTTCTTCTACCAATGTCTTCCCCTTCCCTACTATAGCACGCAGTGAAAATTACAGTTACTCCAAAATTCACATCCTGCAGCATGCACAAATGTCAGGACCCTGACATCATGAGATTGACTTCCTAAACCAGTAAAAGTAATATGTTTTAATAGTTATTTTTAATTTAATTTAATTTAAAAAAACTTCCAGCTTTTCGCAAGTGTTTAAGGATCATACATTTCAGGCTTTTTTCTTTCTCCAGAGCTTTACCTTTTGTGACAACCAAGGTTTACCATGATTCCAGACACAGTCTTAAAAAAAAAATTTCCAAGTATTTCAAACCTTTTGATACAACAGTAAAGATTTAGTACATAATTATATATTTTAATGAGTATTTTGAAGAAACAGGTTTTGAAAGGTTCTGGAAAAATCACACTGACTTTGCACAAGTAAATTCTTTCCAGAATAAACCCTTTACCCATTTGAGGCCATAGACACCATTAAAATTTGTATCTACAAAACTTCTTAGAAATAAACACATTGATGAACAGGATTCTGTCATCTCTTGTATGAAGTCTGAATGAAGCTTCAAGTCAGGATATATTTCTGAGTCTGAGAGAAAGGGACAGAAAACATACCTTGATCTGTATAAAAATTAGCCCATTAATCAGCTTGTAGTTTGAAATAATGGATTGCCAGTTGCTTCATTCCCCCAGTCCCTAGGGGAGAATATTTTGTCACTAACTTTAATGAATTCAGGATTTCGTCTATGGCCCGCAGGTTATTGGATTAGCATAATCATGGGTTTCAGAGCCTTGTTTGAAAGCTCATCCCCTGTGAACTTTTTCCATATGCAAAGCCAGGGCCATACTCTATTCTCCTGTCTCAACCCCAAATAGGGTGTTTTTTCCTGAATTTCCATTCTGGAAGGGGAATCCACCTCAGTCAGTCAGATCTCCACAGGAAAAGCTGTACAGTTCTAGGACTCAGGCAATCAGGAACTATTTGCCTTTCTAGTACAGCTCAACAGAGCATATTTCGTGTGCTTTGCATTTAATAAACTAACCTCCATCTCAAATGACAGCTGCTCTAGCACTTTGCTGTTGTTTCCCACTTGGGTGGAACCTGTGTGGAGCAGCATACTGTCCAGGAGAACACAGCATATGTAACCATGGCAGAATTCAAGGGCATAAACTATACTCTCCACTGTACAGATGCTCACTAGCTGATTCGATTAGATGGTCCTGGATTCAGGAGCTGTCTTACACTATGTGCACAGCCTCCAGCCTGTGTTGCCTTGATCTCATTTGGGGCCATTAGGAGCTACTGCAATACAAATGAATAATATACTGAAAAACACATGAATGGGAGCTGGGCAGCGAACTGCTTTTGTACCACAGCTGCTGACAGACAGCAGCTCCGCTCGCTTCAGAGCCGCTGTAGGGTAACTAGGGCAGGTGAGCTGGATTTGTACGCTGTGAATCACTAGCAGGGCTGCCAGCTCCACCCTGCTTCCATGTTTGCTGATGGCATACTGGAGTTTGATGACAGCTGATTCCACACTGAGCTTTTTGCAGCTCCCAGAGTGCTAAAGGAACGTGCTGCAAAGCAGACAGGCGTAGCACAGAGACACAGCAAGCACTGCCCTCAGCAACAGCTCACCTACAGCCTTCACCCTGTTGAGAGGCTGCTTTCCTCAGGTCTGCAGGCAGGGCACGGCTGGCTGCACCGCTGCTCTGCTGCTGAGTTTGGGGATGGGTGATAGAGGCACTTGTCCATACGTGGCTGCAGCCAGCCCTGGCAGGGAGCTGCCTCGCTGCTCTCCAGAAGCAGTACCCGCCCTTGGGCTGTCTGCAGTGAGGTTTCCCTTACCTTCCTCACCCTGGCACAACCCTGCTCAGTAAGGCACAAATTAACAAGCTCACAGGCTAAAAAAACCAAGAGAGTCAGTGTGACAGCTTGATAAAACATATCCCAGAAGCTGCAGAAAGCCTATTGATCAAGATTAGTGCCCATTTCAGAAATTGAATCAACAGCAGTAAATCTAATGTTTCACTCCTTCCGAATCACCATGTCTTGTCGTTACGGCTCCTGCTGTAATGGTTATTCACGACGTGAAAAAGTTGAGGTTATTTCATATCTCAGTGCTAACATACACAATTTGTGATGCAAACAGCCCAGCACAGTACTGTGTCTTTTTTCCTCCAGGCAAAATTTTGAAACAGGTTCAGAATGCTGGGGCACCCTGTGCCATGGGCTGCAGAGCTGTGGTTTCCAGGGGAATGAGGAGCATCCCCCCGAGGAAGGCAGGAACCATCAGGGGAGCAGGCTCCATGCAGGCACAGTACCAGTGCACCGAGTGCACAGAGAGGTGTTTGTCAAGAATCTATTTTAGAAGGCTCTGCTTGCAGTAAAACTGCCTTTACAGTCCATTTGCTTTTTAATTTCTTGAACTCTCACATATTTTTAAAAGTCTGCTTTCTTCAGTTGGATTTACTGCAGTTATTTTTTTTAACATATGTAGATGACTACTTTTCATGCTGGCCCTGTTTTTCTGCAGTTTAATGGCTCAGTAAAAAATAGCATTATGTAAATGAGAAAGTGCCCATTCTTGTTCAAGGTCACAAACACAGGCAGATTATAACCTTACCTGCTGCTTAAAATAACAATAAAAGAGAGTAAGAACTAGATGTAAGACTGCAATTTATTCCTGTTCAGGAAAATATAATGTACAATAATGGAATGTATGTGATAAGGAGAATTTTATATCTATATAAAAATATAGATATTAGAATAAAAATTGTAGCTGAGTATAGGAGGAATCTGCTCTGTATTTCCACACTCTGCTCTGCACAGCAGCGTTATGACAAGTGCTTGCACAAAACCCTTGCAAATGAGCCTGGTTCAAGAAACCGAACAAAGTCCCTCACCCAAAACACCCCACACTAATTTGCAGGGGTGTAAGGGAGCAGCCTGTGAAAGCTCTGCCTAACTACCTTTAATTTTATTTAGAAAGCAGGTTTACAAGTTGTGCTACACATGGTCTGAGGCACCATCTTCTCAGCTGTGCAGGGGTATTTAGGACGCAGAACACACTCCAGTGCACTCAGAGGAGCAGCATACTGATAGCTCAGGCTGGAGCAAAGCTGCTGCTAGACTGTACCCACCTCAAAGCACTACAGCTACAGGCAGCATGATTAAAAAAAAAGAAATTTTGAAAAGGCAAAAAAAGCAGGAAAATACCCCCAATGGCAGCAACATGGCTACTGGTGCCTACATTTCACGCATCAGCAGCCTAGACGGTGCTCTGGCAGGAGAGGCAACACCCCGTATCTGCAGGGCCTCAAATGCACAACCCCGTGCTAACCCTCTGTGCTGCCCCACGAGGAAACATGTTTTCCTTCCTGCACGGTGCTGCTCTGCAGAGCACACGGAGTACCCCCTGCTCCATCTTTTAGAGCTGCTCCAAGCGAGGTCTGAGGGTTTCTTCAGGTGTCCATGTTCTGAGGGACAACACAAAAACTACTAATTCGTCCAGCCTGCACTGACACTGGGGCATTCTTGCTTATTAACAATGCAATCTGAGGCATCTCACTGCCAAACTTCAGTCTTCACGCAAGATTGCTATGGCCCAAAGCCTTAAACATTTTTATTTTGCTTTACAAGCAGGACAAATGTATTCTTAAAGACAGTAAAAGAGGAAGGAGAAAACTCCAGTGCAGACCAATCCTACTTCTATTAATTGACTTTTCTTCTTACTCCCTCCCTAGTTGCCATTCTATTCTTCTCTTTCTTCTCCTCCAATTCTGACTCTGGTCTTTACCACACTTTCCAGGTAGGTTTTGCTTTCCCTTTCTCTTTCTTCTCACCTCCCTTTTTTCCATTTCCCTCTGTCCTGCTCTACAGTTTTTAAAAAAACACCTTATCTGCTTCTCTTTCTCCTGTCAGTGAAATATCCTCCTTAGCCCCATCCTCTGTTCCCTGCTCTGTCCTACCTCTTTTGCTTCACTTTGTCATTTCTCTTTCTCTGTTCATTTTTTCCCCTCTCATCTCTTCATTTTACTTTTGGAGGTCTCACTGCTCACCCCTTCTTTATTACCTCCCACTACCTCCAGTCTTGCTTACTCTCACAGACAACTTGCTCAGCTGTCAAGGGTTTAGGGGCTTCCATCTTTGCCTTCTCCTTTGGGCTGAAGGCTGGAGAAATAAGCTGGTGGGCAGGTCTCCCCTCTTATCACATATAAATGACTGGTTCCTGTGCTCTTGAATCTGGTGGGAATTTGGTAGTGCAGGTTGTGGCACCAGAGATGTCAGGATGCTGGGAGATCTGCAGGGCTGGGCTGGTCATATACCAGCTTACCACGGGATGCAAAGAAGGAAAAGCGCTTCTGGTTGTTTGTTTTGCAGGAATTTTTATTCTTGCCAAGGACTGCAAAAACGGGGTTTGCATGCAACCACATGTGCAATCTGCTTTTCAGCTGGGCAATTACAACACTGACCTTGACGACCTTCCAGCAAATTCCCAGGAACTAAAGCCCATTTGAGCAGGAGAGGTTGCTTTGAAATTAGCAGAACATTAACTGCTCCCTCTGTACTGTATCCACTCGGTTCAGGTTTCTTAACCCTATGCCACGCTGATGTGGTAACCAGCAATATTTCAGTTAAGGTACTTCTTTAAAAAGTCAATTTCCAATCTGTAAAATTATCTGGAGCAAAGTATCTGAGACGAAAAGTTCTCCCTGCTTGCATTGTAAGAAGAATACATAAAGCTAAACCAGCAAATGTTTACCTATGGATGACAATTTTCTTTTACATGACACTGGTAGTTGTACCACTGATGT